CACGCCGTCAACCATCAGTGTTTCTGCAACTACATTCTGAGCGGCAGCACGCTGAGCATGGTGACGCTCTGGTCAGTGCGCTTATTCATGTTGGTTCTGGCCATCGGCATGTTCCTCCATGTGTACTTCAGCAGCCAAACGAAAGCCCTAGACCTGAGCATCAATACCGTACAGGCATCCCTGCCAGAGCGTATGCGTCTCTGGAGCAACATCTCGTACGTGAAGAACATTCTTCCATGGGCGATTATGCACTGCTTGTGGATGACGCTGACGGCGGTCGTGTCATTCACCATTTTCTACTACAACACGAAGATGAGGTGGCCTGTGAGGATAATTCTTGCCGTGTCCGCCTCCCTGATGCACGCGCTGGACCTGTTCGTCCAACCGATCATGCTCATTCGCGCCAGCTACAGTCTCAGATGTAAGATATACAAGTGTCACCCAATAATCCGGTCAATGTTCATCGGCTGTGTCATCCCGAAGAACTCTATTACTACAGTCGCCAACGGCGTACCAATGGGACTACCGCACTTCAAAGGTCCAGCTTCACGAACACGTGACACGTGTAAATGTCAATAAAACGCCTTCCCATCTGAAAGAAATATTCGGCACTGCTGCAGAGTGTTGACCTCCGCACTTAATCGGCATATCAAAAGTGTCTTTCCGTCTGTTCTTGATTCTCCTTCTTGTCTGGTGTTGTCCTGTCTTACTGTAGAATCGCAATAAAGCATACATCGAAGAACTTTTTTAGACTAAATTTTGATCACAGAGAAAAATCTCAGAACCAAAAAAACCCCGGTATCAGCTACTAAGACAATTAACAATTCGAAGACGTACAAAAAGCTGCGATAACTTTATCATAGTATTGGTGAATCACACTTATGCTGTTTAATATGCATGCCGTAAACGGCCATCAGTTGCTTTGTAGTACACTGGTCAATAAGGAAGTCTCAACATGTGGGCATGACTTACTCGAAAAACGCCCTTCTTCATCATCAGCCCCATTCGATCTACTGCTTAATGAAGGTATCTTCAATAATTTGACACAGATCTTTGCTTTCTGCCATCTTTACTCGTCGTTTAAACAAACGAACTTCTTCAACTCATTAAGCCATCGATCTGGAGGTCTTCCCACCGTCCATCACAACCCTATCTAATGCCTCTTTGGTCCAGAAATGTCCCATCTAACGCTTCCTGCC